ATCTAATACTTGGTATTTTAGAGTTTTGCAAAGTACTGTGGAAACTGACATGAAGAAGCATTCACTTGACTTGGAGGAAAAGATAGGGGTTGAGGAAAAGCTCCTAGAAGAAGTAAGATTTATATTAGGTCTTTGAAAATGCATGGGCATTTGCCAAATGCTCTTGGAGGAGTGTGTTTGGGGATAGAGGTGGAGGGAGTTGGAGTGTAGTGTGCCAGGGCAAGGGAAAAACCTATCCAAATGCATAGTGGCATTAAAGTACATGACATGTCTGGGAGTGAGGAGAATAACAAATAGTCTGCTGAGGCTGGAGTTGTAAGAGAATAAGAAATGAGTTGAGATTAGAGAGAAAAATGGAAGAATATGGAGATTTCACACTTCAGTATTAGAGGTGTAACAATTTCAGGTAATAAGAATTCCAGGATCTTGAAAGTTCTCAGCACAAGAAAAAAAAAATTTGTGACTGTGTATGGTGATAGATGTTAACTGGACTTACTGTGGTGGTCATTTTGCCTTATATACAAATATTGAATCCTTTTGTTGTACACCTGAAACTAATATAATGTTATGTCAATTATACCTCAATGAGGGCTGGCCCCATGGCTTAGCGGTTAAGTGCGCGCGCTCCGCTGCTGGCGGCCCAGGTTCAGATCCTGGGCGCGCACGACGTACCACTTCTCTGGCCATGCTGAGGCTGCGTCCCACATACAGCAACTAGAAGGATGTGCAGCTATGACATACAACTATCTACTGGGGCTTTGGGGGGAAAAATAAATAAATAAATAAAATCTTTAAAAAAAAATTATACCTCAATGAGAAAAAAGAATTCCAGGTGAAAGCAGTACAAGAGTTGCATGTAATAAACAAGATTAACTAACCTGAATCATCTACGATGGGTCAACATTCTTATAAACTTACTTTGTGTTTTGAATAAATACTGAGGTCTATAAGGCATTCCGGTTGATAGTAGCGCCAGCAGAAGCATTATGAGCAAGGAGGGCACAGCCATATCAAGAATGCTTTTATTCTAGGGAGGACAAATCTCTGCCCTCTGCGTGATAGACAGCATCCAGTGCACTCAGCCTGCTCATAGGTGGCTGACCACTGCCAATGGGGAATATCTGGGGCTCATTGCTGGTCTTTGCTGCCAGTTGAGTAGCTGTATTATTAGGTGCATAACTGCATACCAGGTGCTAGAGGCTGGGTTGATTTGCTGAAGTGATGATACCACATCTAGAATAGCAGCTGCTATCAAAGTGACCACCTGATTAATTTTACAGTAATCGCACATTCTTCAAGATCCATCCAACTTGTGCACAGGCTAGCAGATGAATTAAATGAGGATGTGATAGATATCATCATCCCTGTGTCTTTCAAGTCTCTGGTGGTGGCACTAACCTCTGAAGTTCTCCTAGGGATGTGTTTTTGCTTCTGGGGTACTATATTGATAGAAGTTCCAGGAACTTCCACTAGCTCTTCCTACCATAATGGCCCTTACCCCTGGGTCAGAATCAATGTGGAGAGTCTACGAATGGCCTGGTATTTCTTTTCCAATTATATATTCTAGAACTAGGAAAGTAATCATAATGTAAGTCTGCGGACCAACTGGGTCCACTTTGAGTTAAAACTGAGCTAATATTCCATCTATCACTTGAATACTGTAAATTTCCACTTGACTACTGGACCAAATGGCATTTGGAGTCTCCAGAAATTTGCATTAGTTCAGAGATATGGTAGGCATAATTCTAAGGTGGCCTCTAAGACCCCTTCCCCATGATGTACACATAACTTCTCTCAATTATTCAATCAAACACTAACCTAGGTGCTAGTTTGAGGGGATTTTGTGGATCCCAAATCAGTTGGCTTTAAGGAAGAGAGATTATCACACGTGAACCTGACCTACTTAAGGTGAGCCCTTAAAAGGGACTGAGCTATTCCTGAGGAGAAAAATTCAAAGCATGAGAGGGATTTGACATGCAAGTTTCTTTGTTGCTGACTTTAAAGATGGAGAGGAGTAAAGGTGTTCTCTAGAAGCTAAAAGCAGATCCCAAGTGACAGCCAACAAGGAAATGGAGACTTCAGTCCTACAGCTGCAAAGAAGTGAATTCTGCTACAACCAAGTGAGCTTGAAAGAGAAACCCAAGCTCCAGATGTGAAAGTACCCCAGCTGACACCTTGAGTTTAGCCTTATGGACTCTGACAGGAGTTAGTTACATCATGCTTGGACTTCTTTTTTTTTTCCTTTTTTTCCTCCCCAAAGCCCCAGTAGATAGTTGTATGTCATAGTTACACATCCTTCTAGTTGCTGTATGTGGGACGCTGTCTCAGCATGGCTGGGCAAGCAGTGCGTCGGTGTGCACCCGGGATCCGAACCCGGGCCACCAGTAGCGGAGTGCATGCACTTAACCGCTAAGCCATGGGGCCAGCCCCCATGCTTGGACTTCTGACCTACAAAACTGTGAGCTAAATAATGGGTTTTGTTTAGGCCGCTAATTTTGTGGCAGTTTGTTATACAGCAATAGAAAACTAATACAAAAGGCAGTATGTAGAAATCCTTGAAAAGTCTGGATATTTCCTTTTCCCCAGTGGACAGTCACTCTAGTAAATGGCCACTAGCCCCTCTGAGGAAGGCTTGGAGGAAGATTTACAGTATATACTTTCGGCAGTGCTGCAGGAACCATCCAAAAGGGAGCCTGGCATCCCATTCACTCAAGAGTCTTTGGGTCTGTGAGCTAGCTTAGGTCTGGAAACGAGGGGAGAGGTCATGACTCTATTGTGGTGACTAAAATCAAGTATTTGGTTACCAGACTTGGAGGTTTTTTCTGTTATATTGATTAAGCAATATTCTAATAGGTTGTCTATCTGTTTCATTCCTGAGGATAACCATGATCGATTAACCACAGCCAAAATCTCTGTGGGCTAAAACCTTCTGATTACTGATTTGCCTGTTGCCTTTTATGGTAAATGTACCCACCTTGTCTTTGATGGTGAAGTGTTGCCACCTGGCCCTTCTATTCCAGGATCCTGTCATCTCCATTGAAATCAGGGAGCCTATGTCAATGAACACATCTCCTATGGTCATCCTTGGCCTACAGTGGAGAGCAACCACAGAGCTTTTTGAGAATGCAAGTGCTCTCCTCACTAATATATTTCTCTACACCTCAGTAAAAGGAGTATTTCCTGGGCCTCCTCAGGGGGTGTAGTTGGTAGTGATATTGATGGATGAAATTTATTTGGAAAGAGGAATGGAATCATGGTTTTGGTTTTGAATACAATTTGGAGTCACAGGACATACAAGAAAAAATAAGTAGATTATCAAAGATAAGAAAAGTCATGTAAATAATTGAGGATAGAGATGAATCTTGGAAGCATCCTCTAGACGTAATTTCTCTAAAAGAAAGAGCAGTGAAACATGAAGAAGCAGTGCCTGCAAAGACAAAAAGACTGAAGGTTAGGGGAAGACAAGATAATATAGCAGTATACAAAGCAAAGAAGGGGAAAACTTTGAGAAAGAATTAACTGTAAACGATACTTTGTTATTATTGTATAATTATTATTATTATTATTTGAGCGCTAACAATGTTAGATGTTCTATGCTTCATTTCATTTAATCTTTACAACCACTTTATGAAGTGGTGTCTCTATTTCATATTGGTACTGTCTCTATTTCATCTAGGAAAGGCTTAGAAGAGTTTCGAAAACAAACTTGACTAAAACCATACAGCTAGTTAATGGTGAGGTAAGGATTTGAACCAAATTTGCCTGGTTTCAATGTACTAAATTGTGACTTTGGAAGAAAAGTACCAGAGCATTATTTTTAGATGTATGTACAACACATACATATCCATATATATATTTTGGATATATTTATATATATATTGGATATCCATATATGGATATATGTATGGATATATATTTATATATATATGGATATTTATATATATGGATATATATATATCCAGCCAGATATACCACATTTTTTTTTCTTATGTATAATTTGCCAGTCTTAGTCTCTTCTTGTAACACATGTCTTGGAGAAGTAATGAGATGTAGTGAGAAATGCAGCTGATTAGAAATCTAGAGCCCAAATTCTAATCCTGTTTCTGCACTAACTGTAAAAGTTTATTAATAGCTTTTTTGAAAAATTGAGATATTCACATATAAAATTCACCCTTTTAAAATGTACAATTCAGTGGTTTTTAATATATTCACATGGTTGTACAACCATCACCACTATCTAATTCCAGGATGTTTTCATCACTCCAAAAGACTCCATACCCATTAGCAGTCAGTCATTCCCCATTCCTCCCTCCCCCTAGACCCTGGCCACCACTAATCTACTTTCTGTCTCTGTGGGTTTGCCTGTTCTGGACATTTCATATAAATGGAATTATACAATATGTGGCATTTTGTGTCTGGCTTATTTCACTTACCATGAGGTCTTCAAGATTCATCTGTGTTGTAGCATGAATCAGTACTTTATTCTTTTTTATGGTTTATTCCATTGTACATATATACCACATTTTTTTATCCATTCATCAGTTAATGGATATTTTGGTGGTTTCTACTTTTTGACTATTAAGAATATAAATTTGTGTATGTGTACAAGATTTTGTGTGAACATATGTTTGAGTTCTCTTGCTTATATACCTATGAGTGGAATTGCTGGATCATAAGGTAACTGTGTTTAACCTTTTGAGAACTGCCTCTGTACCATTTTCATTGTCACTCTTAGTAGCTTTTTAAATTCTATGTCATCATCTGTAAAAAGAAAGTGTACACTTGAGGTTTTGCAGGGAGGGAAGGGTAGGGTAGAATGAAAGGAGGGTGTTACACCAAAACATTTTTTCCTATCCAGTTCTAAATATTACATGTAACATTTTTTCCTAGAAATTTTGTGGAAACAAACTAGGATAATTGGTAAAAATTCAGAAATCAGTGAGAACTTTTACCAGCTTTTTTATCTTGATGATTTGATAATTCTGTTCTATTTCTTGTAGAAAAGCTCGCAGAGGCTCAGCGTAGGTTTGCTACACTTCAGAATGAGCTTCAGTCATCACTGGATGCACAGAAAGAAAGCTCTGGTGTTACTACTCTTCGCCAACGCAGAAAACCAGTCTTCCACTTGTCCCATGAGGAACGTGTCCAACATAGGAATATTAAAGACCTTAAACTGGCCTTCAGCGAGTTCTACCTCAGTCTTATCCTGCTGCAGAACTATCAGGTACTTAGATTCTTAACCCTGGAGAATGAACCTTTACGTATTTGAGAAATCATGGTAAATGGAATTAGCTTGAGCTGTACTATTGGGCCAATCGAAAAAGGGAAATCCTTAGTATGTCATTATTCTTTAGGTTCTTATTGGAATTTCACATGTTCTTATTGGCTAAAAATCAAGAATCAGAGTTGGTAAAATAGTGTTAACAGGACTTCTGTTTTTGAAGATTAGTTTTCTAAAAGTTTTTTTTACAATATTCAGGAGTAGCCCTTGACTCAAGGACTGATAGTTTGCTTCCTATTTTTAGAGGCATCTCTGGTAGTGGTGAGTAGAAATAAGGAGTAATATATGTCTACCCAACTACTGTTGGCTATGTAACAGCTTTTATATTCCTCCTAACCTATATAGAAAAATTTCCGCAAAAGCACTTGGACAGTTAACTTTCCTTCAACTAGCACTAATAATACAAAAGATACTGACTTTTCAACTTGCCACGAAGAATCCTTCCAATTTTATTATCCAGAGGCTGCAATATAACTGTATTAAAAAAAAATTTGCAAAAGAAATTAGATCACAGCAAATGTGTGTAGAAAATATATTACTCAATATTTTTAAAACCCAATCTGAAAAATTCAACTACTGTATATGTTAAATTGTGGAAATACAGGGCATTTATTTATTTATAATTCTTTATAGTCCTTTACATAGTTAAATCTATAAAGAATTTATTGAAAAACAGATTATTTGTTCAATAATAAACATTTAAATGTTTATTTAAGGCAGAAGCATCTCCCTGATTTTAGAGAGACATAATGCACTATTTTTTCCCAATTTACTCTTGTGATTATTACTTATAATCAGTGATTAGGATCATCACAGGATCATATACTATATAAAAACTATAGGTTATACAACAATAGTATTACCATGGGTAAATATTGGAATTTTTTTTTTAAGTCTGTTGTATTTTTTAATTTATTTTTTTATTTTTTTTGTGAGGAAGATCAGCCCTGAGCTAACATCCATGCCAATCCTCCTCTTTTTGCTGAGGAAGACCAGCCCTGAGCTAACATCTGTTGCCAATCCTCCTCCTTTTTTTCCCCAAAGCCCCAGTAGATAGTTGTATGTTATAGTTGCACATCCTTCTAGTTGCTGTATGTGGGATGCCGCCTCAGCATGGCCTGACAAGCAGTGTGTTGGTGCGTGCCCGGGATCCGAGCCCAGGCCGCCAGTAGCGTAGCGCACGCACTTAGCCACTAAGCCATGGGGCTGGCCCCAATATTGGAATTTTAAAATAAAAGGTAATTATAGTCTCATATCTGTAGTAATCTCAATTGTTAATGCATGAACTTATTTCCATCTCTCCCTTTCATAAATTTACCTTCTTCTTTGGTGATTTAATATTTTATCATTCAAAGAAGAGCCTAGGTGGAAAATAATTTTAGAAGAATAGAAAAGTAATTAAAAAAAAAAAAAAAAGAATAGAAAAGTAATTATGTATGTTGGGAAATTCCTTTCCTTTGAAATTTATCCATAGCTTTATAATTTATTTATTTATTTTTTTGTGAGGAGGACTAGCCCTGAGCTAACATCTGATGCCAATCCTCCCCTTTTTTTTCTTGAGGAAGATTGGCGCTGGGCTAACATCCGTGCCCAACTTCCTCTACTTTATATGGGACACTGCCACAGCATGGCTTATCAAGTGGTGCGTCGGTGCGTGCCCAGGATCCGAACCTGTGAACCCCGGGCCGCCGAAGCGGAGCGTGTGCACTTAACGACTGCTCCACCAGGCAGGCCCCTAAAATTTATTTTTTAAAAGAGCAAAAGTGTATTTCTTCTTTTTTATAATGCTATAAAACATTAACACTTCTCATTAATTGTGCTTGCCTGTTACACAGAAATAACCCTTGTTAAAGTTTATTAACTTTCCTAGAAGCTTTTGTCTTGGGTCATTATAGAAAGCTCCTTGGGAAAACAAAAATAATTGTTAATTATAAAAGTTCTGATCTATCCTCTATTCTTTAAGCCTGTCTATTCTGTAAGAATATATTTACTTTGAGAATGAGGAGAAAGGAAATTGATTGAAAGAAGTCTCCAAGTTATGGTATATGCAACCCAAGGAGAGTTTAAGATGATCCATTCAAGTATGAGAAAAAAATTATAAACAAACCAGCAAGCAAGCAAAGCCTAATTTGGAGTAGTGCTCAATTTTTTTTTTAATTGTGAAATTTTTGTTGTACATTATTGTTTATCAGTCACCATATAAGTGTAACCCTCCACCTCTTGTGCCCACCCGCCACCCCCCAGCCCCTGTCAATTTTTTTACTGATGGGAATATGTGATCAGCAAATCTGGGAGAGCTCTGGTTTAAAGAACCTTGCAGGGCCGGCCCCATGGCTTAGTAGTTAAGTGCGCACGCTCCGCTGCTGGCGGCCCGGGTTCGGATCCCGGGCGTGCACCAACGCACCGCTTCTCTGGCCATGCTGAGGCTGTGTCCCACATACAACAGCTAGAAGGATGTGCAACTATGACATACAACTATCTACTGGGGCTTTGGGGGGGAAAAATAAATAAATAAAATTATAAAGAACCTTGCAAATCCAGTTTCCTGCTTTTTTTGCATGTTATCAAAGAACAACCGAATTTGAGAATGTAGAAAAGTGTAGTATTTTGATATTGTAGGAATAGAGGAAAAATTCGAGCTCCTACCCATTATCAGCAAAACCTTGTAAGTATGATCACTTCTTTTCTACTGCCTCTTCTTTGCACTCCCATCCCCAAACTGAGAATGGATGGAAGCAAAATGAAAGTTAAGAGAACTGGACGATCTTCCATTTTCCATGCTGATGCCTACATGCTTGCACAGTAGGAGGGAAACATATAGCTATGCCAGTCCTTCAGAAAGCAAAGAACTAATAAATTTATTCAGTGCATGATAAATCCAAAATATTTTCTGAAAATAGTCTTTTGATCAGAGAAGCAAAAAGATATAAATAAACGTTTTGAGAACAATTGTATATAGGAAAACAGAAATAAAAATGTTTTCAGTTTAGGACTTCCGTTAATTTACTTGAGATCAAAATAATAGGGTTCATAGTTCAGGGTTCTTTGTATTACTGATACATACTACCTTGAAATGAATGAATGAAATAAGAAAGAAGAGTCTTATTCTTTTAGTAGTAAATGGTTTTATGAAAGCATTGCTGTTTTCCTTGGTACTCAATCTTCATCCAGTCACCTCTGTCAATGCATAGTGCTTATTATTTTTCATTTTCTTTTATGGTGGTGGAATTTATAGTAGTGTTTTTCATTTCTCTCTGTAGAATCTGAATTTTACAGGGTTTCGAAAAATCCTTAAAAAGCATGACAAGATCCTGGAAACATCTCGTGGAGCAGATTGGCGAGTGGCTCAGGTAGAAGTGGCCCCATTTTACACGTGCAAAAAAATCAACCAGCTCATCTCTGAAACTGAGGTACAGTAATCTCACTTGTAAACCACATATTTTTAATGACATTCATGTCTTATTTTTAGTGAAATAATTCTTCATTTCTATTTTCCTTTTGTAATTAGTTGCTAGCTTTGAATACATATATTTTTACCAAGATTTTTTTTTCTTTTGCCTTATTAGTATATGGTCACCAAGAGGTTATCGGAATAACATATATTTAAATGGTTCAGAATTATTTATGCATTAAAGTTTAGTATAACCTGTGTCAAAATTTAATAATGTTGTCTTTGTAGGCTGTAGTGACCAACGAACTTGAAGATGGTGACAGACAAAAGGCTATGAAGCGTTTACGTGTCCCTCCTTTGGGAGCTGCTCAGGTTAGTATTTGCTTCCAGTTGTTTGGTTGGTTGGTTTTGCCTATTTAATAATCAACACAATCTATTTAGCTGATAAAATATACTAGTTTCATTAATTTGAAAAAAAATGTTTCAGCCAAAATTTATAAGTAATTACTATTGTTATCGTTGTTTTAAAAAATTAGATGATCTAATTTCATAATCTCACTTCCTGATGAGTTGTAATATCTTTCTACTTTTCTCTTCTTATCCTGTGCTCCTTCTCGTTTATTCTTATTGACATGCTAAGTTCCTGGTCTCACCAAATGATTAAGATGAGATATTTATTTGATGATATGAGGGTGGATCAAATGTGCTAGACTACTACATAATTTCATCCAAAACATAGTAGTTACACCAAAAAAAGCATTTGTCAAATGATATCTACGCAGCAGTTATACCAAAAAACATTTAAGTGATATCATAAAACAAGTCTCAAACAAAGGATTTAAATCATAGAAAGTTATGTTCTCTGACCACAATGGAATGGAAATCAATAACAGTCACAGCTTCTTCACCTAATAAAAGGCATTTATTAAAAATCTACAACTAATACCATACTTAATGGTGAAACACTGAATGCTTTCTCCCGCACTAGGGACATAAAAGGATATTCACTCTTTTTGCTTCTATGCAACATTATGCTGGAAATTATAGCCAGTGTAGTAAGGTAAGAAAAAAAAATAAAAGGCGTTCAGATTAGAAAGAAAGAAATAAAACTGGTGAGGGTTTTTTTGCTGATGACATGATGGTCTGTGTAGAAAATCACATGAATCTATAGAATTGCCACTAGAACCAATACGTGAGTTTAGCAAGGTTGCAGAATACAAGATCGATATACAAAAATCAATTATATTTCTGTATACCATCAAGAACAATTGGGAATCAGAATTTTAATAAATAATGCTATGTATAATCAAAATATGAAATATTTAGGGATATATCTGAACAAAAGATGTGCAAGACCTTTACACTGAAAACTACAAAACACTGCTGAGAGAAATTAAAGAAGATATATGAGAGATATACCATGTTCATGAGTTAGAAAACCCAATTTTGTGTGTATGTGTGAGGAAGATCAGCCAATCCTCCTCTTTTTGCTGAGGAAGACTGGCCCTGGGCTAACATCCGTGCCCATCTTCCTCCACTTTATATGGGACGCCGCCACAGCATGGCCTGACAAGCGGTGCGTCAGTGCGTGGCCGGGATCCGAACCTAGGCTGCCAGCAGCAGAGCACGCGCACTTAACCACTATGCCACAGGGCCGGCCCCCATAAAACCCAATATTTTTAAGATATCATTTCTTTCTAAATTGATCTATAGGTATAACACAGTCCAACTCAAAATCTCAACAGGATTTTTTTTTTGTAATTGGTAAGCAAATTTTAAAATTTATGTGGAAATACAAGCAACCAAGAAGAGCCAAAACAACTTTGAAATAACTAAGTTGAAAGATTAACGCACCTGGTATCAAACTTATTATTAAAGCTATCAGTAATCAAGATAGTGTGGTATTTGTGTCAGGATAGGCAAATAGGTTAATGGAATAGAAGAGAGAGTCCAAAAACAGACCAACAAATATATGGACAACTAATTTTCAATAAAGATGTAAAGGCATTTTCGTGGAGAAAGGATAGTCTTTTCAACAAATGGTGCTGGAGCAAATGGCTTCCATATGCAAAAAAAAAAAAGAAGAACCTCCATCCATACTTCACACCGTATACAAAAATTAATTCTAAGTGTACCACACACCTAAATGAAAACCTAAAACTACAGATTTTTGAAGAAAATATAGGAGGAAGTCACGGTGACTTTGGGTTACACAAAGATTTCTTAGAAATGACACCAAAGGGGGCTGGCCCTGTGGCGTAGCAGTTAAGTGCACACGCTCTGTTGCTGGCGGCCTGGGTTCGGATCCTGGGCATGCACCGATGCACCGTTTGTCAGGCCATGCTGTGGTGGCGTCCCGTATAAAGTGGAGGAAGATGGGCACAGATGTTAGCCCAGGCCCAGTCTTCCTCAGCAAAAAGAGGATGACTGGCATGGATGTTAGCTCAGGGCTGATCTTCCTCACAAAAAAAAAAAAAAAGAAGAAAGAAATGACACCAAAAACCCTTCATCAAAATTAAAAACTTCTGCTTTTCAAAAGACAATGTTAAGAGAATGAAAAGAAAAGCAACAGACTAGGAGAAAATATTTACAAAATATATCTGATAAAAGACTTGTATCCAGAGTATATAAAGAACTCCAATACTCAATAATAAGAAAACAAACAACTCAACTTAAAAATGGGCAAAAGATCTGAACAGACACTTAATCAAAGATGTATGGGTGGCAAATAAGCATGTGAATAGATGCTCAATATCATTAGTCAGTAGGGAAATGCAAATTAAAATCACAATGAAATAACACACAGCTATTAGAACAACTAAAATGAAAAAGATTGACATGGAATATTGGAGGAACAAGAACTCTTACATCTCATATGCTGCTGGTGGGATGATATAACCACTTTGGAAAACAGTTTGGCAGTTTCTCTCAAAGTTAAACATTCACGTACCATATGATCCAGCCATTGTACTCCTAGATATTTACCCTAAGACAGATGTAAGCATATGTTCTTGTAAAGATTTGTACACAAATGTTCATAGGAGCTTTATTCATAATAGCCTAAAACTGGAAGCAACCCAAATGTCTATCAACTGGTGAATAGATAAACAATTTATGGTATATCTATACAATGGAATACTACTCAGCAACAAAAAGGAATAAATATTGATATCTGGAACAACATAAATGCATCTAAAATAATTATACTTGAGAGAAAGAAGCCAGACCGAGAAAGAGTATGTACTGTATGATTTTGTTTACCTAAGACTCTGAAAAATGCAAGCTAGTATATAGTGACAGAAAGCAGATCAGTGATTGCCTGGGGTTGGGGTAGGGTGTGGTAAGAGGAAAAGGATTACAGAAGGGCATGAGAAAACTCTTGAGGTGGTAGTTAGGTTCATTGTCTTGATTATGGTAATAGTTTTACAGGTGTTTACATATATCAAAACTTATCAAATTTTACACTTTAAATATGTGCAGTTTATTGTATGTCAATTAGTCAATAAAGCAGTTAAAAAAAAAAAACATAGACAAGAGCTGGCCCTGTGTAGTGGTTAAGTTTGGCACGCTCCGCTTCAGCAGCCCAGGTTTACTGGTTCAGATCCCAGGCGCAGACCTACACCACTTGTCAGCCATGCTGTAGCAGGGTCCCACATACAAAATAGAGGAAGATTGGCACAGATGTTAGCTCAGGGTGAATCTTCCTCAGCAAAAAAGAAAAAAAAAAAAACTAGGCATATCATAGTCAAACTGCTTGAAAATAGAAGATAAAGACAAAAATTTTTTAAGCATCCAGAGAGAAAAGGCACAAATTGTATACTTTAAATGTGCAGTTTATTGTATGTCAATTATATTTCAATAAAGCTGTTAAAAATAAAATTAATTTTAAAAAATTAAGGTGTTTAGGAATGCATGTAGAAGTGGCAAAGCTAAAGAAAACATGGAAATGGTTATCTCTAGCGAGGAGGGAAGGTTTTGGGATCTGGAAGGGATAGGAACTTCAACAATAGTGAAAGTGTTCTGTTTCTGAAGATGGGTGATAGGTTTGGTATACTTTACTACTCAATTCCAAACAGTCCAGATCAATATATGTATTCTTTTGTACATATGATAAATTGCGTAATTTTTATTGTATTATTTTTTTTGATGAGGAAGATTGTCCGTGAGCTAACATCTGTTGCCAGTCTTCCTCTATTTTGTATGTGGGACCCCATCACAGCATGGCTTGATGAGTGGTGTGTAAGTCTGCACCCGGGATCTGAACCCATGATCCCCTGGCCACCGGAGCGGTGCGTGCCAAACTTAACTACTATGCCAGTGGGCCAGCCCAAAAATCGCATAATTTTTAAAACTAAGAAAATTCTTTTTTTTTTTTTTTTTTTAACTTTATTTTTTTTTCCCCCAAAGCCCCAGTAGATAGTTGTATGTCATAGTTGCACATCCTTCTAGTTGCTGTATTTGGGACGCGGTGTCAGCATGGTCGGAGAACCGGCGCGTCAGTGCGCGCCTGGGATCCAAACCCGGGCCGCCAGCAGCTGAGTGCACACACTTAACCACTAAGCCACGGGGCCGGCCCAAGAAAATTCTTTTTGAAAAAGAAAATGACCATCTTCCTTCTGGATGCTTTCAGTCCTAAACTAACAATACAGATATCTATTACTGATAAATAAGTCAGAGGGGGTCGCAATGCTTTTTTTCGTTTGAAGATTTTTAGAAAACATTTAAAGTTTCTTAAGTATAATGTCACCTCTAACAACGACAAAAGTTTTTGATAACATTTATAGCAAATATTTATAATTTTATTTATTTATTTCGTTTCCCCCAAAGCCTCAGTAGATAGTTGTATGTCATAGTTGCACATCCTTCTAGTTGCTGTATGTGGGACGTGGCCTCAGCATGGCCGGAGAAGCGGTGCGTCGGTGCACGCCCAGGATCCGAACCCGGGCCGCCAGCAGCGGAGCACGCGCACTTAACTGCTAAGCCACGGGGCCGGCCCTATAGCAAATATTTAAATCCATAAGATTATCTCTCTCTCTGTTTCTCATCCCTTTACATTTAAAATATCAGACACTTTCTTTTATTTATTTTAGAAAACAGTAGATTTTTAAAATCATTTTCTAAATATAAAATTACATTGTAATAGAGAAAAATATTTTTTGAAGCTACACACCCTGAAGATTCTGATATGCCAGTCTCTTGAGACTCTCTAGTATATCTTTAAAAATTCACTTTAGGGCTGGCCCCGTGGCGTAGCGGTTAAATGCGTGCACTCTGCTGCTGGCGGCCCGGGTTCGGATCCCGGGATCGGATCCCGGGATTGCACTGAGGCACCACTTGTCAGGCCATGCTGTGGCAGCGTCCCACATAAAGTGGAGGAAGATTGGCATGGATGTTAGCTCAGGGCCAGTCTTCCTCACCAAAAAAAAAAAAAAAAAATTCACTTTAAATTACCCCAGTATAATAGTGTAAGAACTATCAGAAAATAAGTTGTTCTTATTTTTACATTGTCTCTAATTATTATTCATAATACCAAATATGTGAACTCTGAGTAATACTGACTTACAAAATTTAAAGATGTATACATTGTAAAAATGAAATTGCATGTTAAATCTCTCCTATAAGAAAATCCCAGTGTATATATAATTTGATGCCTAAGATTATAATCTTGTTTATTTAGTGACTCAGATTTCTGTAAAATAATTCGAATAACTGGCAACTCGTTATAGGATGATGAAGGATGTTCTCTGGTTCAGATTTATAAAAATTCAGATCATAAAATATTTTTGTTTTCATGGTAGAACTTTGAGGCTCATACTACTAATTTATTGCAGCATATACTGAATGTATTCAGTATTTTGCCCTATACCCAAAATGCTGTTTTTCTGTCTACAGCCTGCACCAGCATGGACTACTTTTAGAGTTGGCCTATTTTGTGGAATATTCATTGTACTTAATGTTACCCTTGTGCTTGCCGGTAAGTAGTTTCAATTTTGAATTAAATTATTCTTACTAATATGCCTATGTCATATTGTGTTCCTCTGTAAGAAATCAAGCTTGCAAGTACCAAAGCTCTGAAAGAGATCTGTCAGGGCTAAGTTTTTTGTTCTTATAAATGGTATATTGGGGGAGGGGGATTTGGTCATTTGTTTTGGTTTGTTTTTCCCTTTGGGTATAGTTATCCTTTAAAATATTGCTAGTTTATGACTTCTTACTCTCCATCATTTTCCAGTTTTTATGTACAACTTCTTCAGACTTTTTCAAAGTTCAGTTATCAAGAACCTCAGCTCCTTTGGTTACAAATGAGAGTAAATAAGATATTACAAAATTTATATACTAAAGCTCATTCACTTTGCTTTTTGGAGACTCACATTCTTTCCAGAACCTATTTACAATTACTTTGCATATAATTTTAAGAAGCTTGGTTATATAATTTCCTATTCTATAGCAGTTATAAATTAGAAAGAGGTAGGAGGAATTGCTAGAAGCAAGTGCACTCCCAATGTCAAGAAATAATGTAACAGCAAGGGAGGCATAATCTTACTAAACCTCCCAACAGAATTTGACATACCCCTGAGCAGCATTTGACATTGTTGATCTCTTCTTCTTGAAATTCTTACTTCACTTGGTTTTGCTAGGAAACCACACTCTGCTGGTTTTCCTATTAAACTTCGCTGGCATTTCTTTCCCAGTCTCTTTTGCTAGCTGTTGTTTTCTTTGTGACATCTAAATGTTGGGGAGTACCACTGGGCTCAATCCTCAAATCTCTGTAGAGAATGTTTGCAGTCATTTCTCACTCAGGCAGTCTTATTCAAGCCTATATAAATACCATCTATATACTAATGACCCCCAAGTATATATGCTATCTCCTCTGAGTGATGTCTAATTGGCTACTTGGACATCTAATAGGCTTCTCAAACTCACATGGACGTATTTTTTTTCACCCCCGTATATGCTTTCTCTGCCATATGGCATAGCCTTTCAGTTTCTCAGACCAAAAACCTTTAGCATCTCTCTTCCCTCATACTTCATCTTCAATCCATCAGCAAATCCTGCTGCTCTGTCTTCAAAATATATTCTGAATCTGACCACCTCCACCAGTGTTATCCTTGTCTAAGCAACCATTTCTTGCTTAGTACACTGCAACAGCCTTCTGAACTTGTCTCCTTGCAGCCACTCTTGCCTCCTGACGGCCGCCAATGTCTTTTTTTTTTAATGTAAGTTAGATCATGTCACTCTCTTCAAAATCAAAATCAGAAGTTAAAAAAAATGACTTCTCTTACAGTAAAATTCAAACTTCTTACCATGGCCTATGAGACCCTCCAGGATCTTGCCCTTCTGAGCCTTTCTGACTTTATAGCCTAGCATCCTCCCCACACTCAGTTTCACTTGGTTTTACTCTGTTTCCATCCACACTTGTGTTGTTACTATTCCTTGAACATACCAGGCTCATTCCCAGCTATGAGCTCTTGCATTTGCCTAAAAGGCTCTTCCGCAAGATGTCTACCTGGCCTACTCGCTCACTTCATGTAGTCTCTATTCAAATGCCACCTCCTCAGTAAGGCCTTACCTGATCCCCTTACCCTAACGTAACCTGTTCTATCCCTTTAGCCTACATTAGTTTTCTTCAGAGCACTTGTAATTATATGACATAATATTACATATTTACGTTTCTTGTTACCTGTTTTCCCACTGGAATGTAAGTTTCTTTTTTTATAATTTTATTTATTTATTTATTTTCCCCAAAACCCCAGTAGATGTTGTATGTCACAGCTGCACATCCTTCTAGTTGCTGTATGTGGGACGCGGCCTCAGCATGGCCAGAGAAGCGGTGCGTCAGTGTGCGCCCAGGATCCGAACCCAGGCTGCCAGTAGTGGAGCGCACGCACTTAACCGCTAAGCCACGGGGCCGGCCCCTAAGCTTCTTGACGCTTGGGTTTTGGCTCTCTTGTTCATCATTGTGTCTCCATCACCTAGAATACTGCCTGGGACATAGTAGGGGTTCAAAATATGTTGGAAGTTTGAATGGATAGAAGAGAAGGAAAGAGATGAAATTAAATGATATATAGAAAAAACAAACACACAAACAGCAAAAAGACAGACACAAATCTCGAAGGTTCTTGCAGTAGAGGACTTTTAATTTAAGGGCAAAAATCCTGGTATACCTCCAGAGTCTTGTTAATGATAACTATGAATCATTAATACAGGATTGTAAAGTCTGCAAAGAATACATGAGTTAGAAATAGATGTTATTGTATAAATATCCATTATATTCTGTTTTGGACTTTTAGTAATCATAATAGTGCCTGAACAAGGAAGGTTTGTATCACTGTCACGCTTATTCTCGATTGCAGGGACTATGTACTCTTTTTCGTTTTTTGTATTTCAGGTTCCTAACACAGCGCCAGACATATAGCAGATGTTCAAGAAATACTTTACTGAACTCATTATTCCTCATAAACATTCTTAAGATTCTCCATTATATGTTATGAAATTATAACCCAAGTTGTAATGGCTTTTAGAGAGCATATGAACTTTACCTATTACAGTGTGTTTTCATTTGTATTTTTAGAGTTCTCCTTCCCACCAATTCCTAAAAATTAACTTTGATAATTATGGTCTACTGTAAGCTCATGATTTAATATTGGTATAATTTATGATCATATTTTAGTCTAATTCTATTTGTTCAGGTGAATGGAGTCTATTTATATAGAATACATGGAGATACTACCATAAAAAACCTAGCCCTAGATTGTCAAGCTAGCTATTGTGGAAGCAACACTGACTTGGATTCAAAGAGCCTTGCTTGGGTTTCAGTCCCAGCTCCACTGTTTGTTAATTGTTTTGGCTTTAAGGACATCATTTAACTTTTCTAAAACAATTTTCTCATTTGTTAAATGAGCTTAATACCTTAAATTTACAAAGTTGTTTTAGAATTCCTTCATTCAACAAGTAAATTTTAGCATCTCACAGTTATGCTTGATACTCATGAGTCATAAGATAGATAAGAGAATCCCTTTCCTTATGAAGCTTATTATGCCAGGGAGATTAAGACAATAGTAATACAAGATGGAAAGTGTTAAATGTTCTAAGCAAAGGAACAAGTGATTACTTTTAAATGAGAGCATCAGGGAAGACTTTATGGAAGAAATGACATTTATGCTGGACATTGATGGAATGAAAGGCATTCCAAGAAAAGGAAACAGTTGAGCAGAGATTTAGTTGAATAGTTAGGAGGTGGGGCATAGGAGGAGGGGAGGGGAGTGGATTATGAAGGAGAGAAGTGATAAATTCACCCAGGGTGAAGGAGAGTGTTAGATGATAAGAGTGAAAAGGTAGCATGAGATCAGTTCATAGAGATCATCTAAGAAATGTAAGTAAAACATGTTTATAGTTGTGAAGCACTACACCAATATAAAGTATATGGTATGTGTGATGGGAGTTGTTTCTTTCTGTAGGAAAAACTGTAGTTGTTTGTGTGAAATTTTTTCTTTCATTTCCAAGATGAGCATGGTGGTATCATCATCATCATCATTAAATAAGACATAAGAAAAAGAAAATTTCTTCATTCTTTTTATGTGAATGAATTGAAAAGAAGTTTTTTTAAATATGAGGACAAGGGCCGGCCCAGTGGCGCAAGTGGTTAAGTGCACGCTCTCTGCTGTGGCAGCCCGGGGTTTGCCAGTTCAGATCCTGGGTGCGCACTGATGCACCGCTTGTCAAGCCGTGGTGTGGCGCCATCTCATATAAAGTAGTGGAAGATGGGCATGGATGTTAGCCCAGAGCCAGTCTTCCTCAGCAAAAAAAAAAAAGAGGAGGATTGGCAGATGTTAGCTCAGGGCTGATCTTCCTGAGCTAACAACAACAAAAAAGCGAGGACAAGTTGAAGTTTTTTCTTTTGTAAATATAGACTGTTTTTTTTGAGACAGTCTGATTTGTTTTATGTGTGTGGTTTATGCATTTAGTGTTATGCATTATATTCTTTCACCTCAGAACCCTTCTTTGTTTGATCTTTGTGTTTGTATAAGGGAGAAAGGGTAAATATAGTTAAAGCCAGCTCTCTATCCTTATTTATCTCCCAGAGGGTGCTTAAAAGATAACAGTGTTGAGAGTTGAGAGAGAAACATGGTGGTAGTGATGCATGTACAAGCATGATTCTTTTTTTGAAGCATTCACATCAAAACATAATGTGCATAATTGCTGTAGTTTCTCAAGGGAGCGTGACCTAGTGTTTAATAATTTATCTAAAAATCACATATTCCAGATATTTAGATTCATGAAGATGAAAAGTTGCCTGTTTAGATTTTTTAAAACTTGTTCTCTTGGGGCCGGCGCCCTTGACGTAGTGGTTAAGTGCACGCGCTCCGCTGCTGGCCACCCGGCTTCGGATCCCGGGCGCGCACCGATGCACCGCTTGTCAGGCCATGCTGTGGAGGCGTCCCATATAAAGTAGAGGAAGATGGGCACAAATGTTAGCCCAGGGCCAGTCTTCCTCAGCAAAAAGAGGACGATTGGCATGGATGTTAGCTCAGAGCTGATCTTCCTCACAAAACAAAACAAAACAAAACAAAAACCTTGTTCTCTCATAGATTCCTAGTAAGCTTTACTTAATTTGATACAATATGCCATATTTCACAAAGTGTGTATAAGGGTGTGAAATAGCAGGCACTCATACACTAATAGTAAGAGTTGATCATTGCGATCTCTTTAGAGAATAATGGGCAATATAGGAAAAATTTTTAAATACAGTCACTTTGATTAAGCAATTTTATTTCTAGAAATTTATCCTACCAACATAGTTGTAAATGGGTGCAAAGATTCATATGAAAGGAGGGTATTCATGACCGTTTTGTTTACAATAGCAAAATCCTAGAAACCACTCAAATGTCCATCATTTGGGAACTAAGTAAATAAATAATATTACCCCTATACCATGGAATACTATGAAGATTTTAAAATGAATGAGTGAAAATGGGTACAACACTTTGGAGAACCATTTGGCAGTATCTACCCAACCTAAACATATACTATACTGGGTTGTTTCTGCTGTTTGGCTAATGTGAATTGCGCTGCTATGAACATATGTATACATGGATTTGTACCTGTTTTCAGTTCTTTTGGATATATACCTAGGAGTGGAGTTGCTCGGTTATGTGGTAATTCTGTGTTTAACTTTCTGAGGTACCACCAGTTGTTTTCCACAGAGGCTACACCATTTTCCATTCCCACTAGCAATTTATGAGGGTTCCATTTTCTCCACATCCTCGCCTACATGTGTGATTTTACTTTTTTTTCAAATTATAGCCATCCTAGTGAGTATGAAGTGGTATCTTGTTATGGTTTTGATTTGCATTTCCCTCATGACTAATGATATTGAGCGTCTTTTCATGTGCTTGTTGGCTGTTTCTATATTTTCTTGGGAAAAATGTCTATCCAAGTCCTTTGCCCATTTTTTAATTGAGCTGTATTATTGTTAAGCTACATAGTTCTTTATATATTCTGGATAGTAGACTCTTATAAGATACATGATTTGCAAATATTTTCTCCCATTCTATAGATTTTCTTTTCACTTTCTTGATAATGTCCTTTGATGCACAAACGTTTTTAATTTTGGCAAAGTCCAGTATATCTATTTTTTTCTTTTGTTACTCATGATTTGGTGTCATATCTAAGAATCCATTGCCAAATCCAAGGTTATGAAGATTTTCCCTTATGTTTGTTTCTAAGAGTTTTATAATTTTAGCTCTTATATTTAGGTTATTGATCCATTTTGAACTAAATTTTTGTATGGTGTGTGGTAGGAGTTCAACTTCATCCTTTTGCATGTGGATATCTAGTTGTCCCAAAACCATTTGTAGAAGAGAATATTCTTTTCCACTGAATGGTCTTGGCCCTCTTGTTGAAAATCAATCCTTCAGTTTCCTGAAGACAGGTGTTTCGTCTGTTCATTACTGAATCACCAGCTCTCAGAATGGTGTCACATGTAATAGGCATGTAATAAATATTTTTCAAATTAATGAACAAAGAAGGTGATATATACTGAATACTCATAAAGGGCCAAACATTGTTTTAGGCATTTAATATGTGTTGTTTGCATTTAATCTTTTTAACAAACTTATAAGAATAGATATTATCCCCATTGACCAATAAGGAAACTGAGACTTAGAAAAATTAAATAATTTGCCCTTTTATAGCTAAGATTTGAAATCTGGTTTATAGTATTTGACTCCAAACCAAAGGCTTCTCTACTCTGTTATTTTTAAGTTATTGAATGAACTATGTACTATAGAGACTACAGAGATAAAAATAATAAATGGTTATTTAAATTAAGTCAGTCTATAAGGTAGTATATAATTAAATTTCAAATAATAAATAATAAATTTTTATTTATTATTTAAGAATAAATTTTGTAGTTATTTGGAAAATTGAGAAATCGTTATCCAAATTGAAATGTTTGGCACATAGTAGGCTCAAAATGAAACATTAATTCAATAAATATATGAATAGATAAGGATCTGACTCTTAAATATAAGTAGAATTTGAATTGGTGGAGGGAAAGAGCAAGGCCATTTTATGTACAGGGAACAACATAAGCAAATGTAAACGGCGAACTTGTTAAAAGGATAATAAAATTCATCAGAAGATAAGAATTTATGTTTAGGGGCAGTGTGAGATAAGTTTGGGAAAAGTGACTTGGAGATCAGATTGTGAAGAACTTGAATTGTGAGGCTGGGATGTTTGAACATTATAATTATTGGAGAGCTATAGAATAATAATGATACTGAACATTTGTTTGGGCATATGGGCAATAGAATGTAGTGGTTAAGAATGTGGGCTTTGGAGAAAACCATCTAGGTTAAAATCCCGGCTCTGCTCTATTCTAGCTTGGTAATCCTGAGCAAATTAATTAATCTCTCTGTGCTCTAGTTTCCTCATCAGTCAAATGGAGATAATAGTTTTTAATTCACAGAGCCATTGTGAGGATTAGATAAATTATTATGTATAAAAATATTGAGAACAATCCTTAGCACACAGTAAGCATTCTGTAAATATCACCTGTTGTCATTTGTATGACATTTCAGTTTTCACATTGCTTTCATGGGTACTATTTCTTTTAATTTTCACAGCAACTCTGTGAGGTAGGTATTACTTTGTGCAGTTTAATGATGGACAAAACAAAGCCAAAGAAGTTGTGTCATACCAGAAATCCCCAGCTGATATAACTGATTTTATGATTGGTTCAAACTATTTCACTATGATTCTCTGTAATCTAAAAAACTAATGGAGTAATGGATCAACATGCTAAAAGTCAAATTTTAGGAAAATTATTCTGGTGGAAATCTGCAGAGTGAAATGAATAAGGGAAAGAACCTGCAGGCAAGTTTATCAGGCTCTTGAGATAATCTAGGTTTAGATTTTATTTATGAAAAATTCCTATGCCAGGACTATATCATTAAGAATTAAGAGAAAAGACAATGAAAAGAGACATTATGAATTTTCTAACCAATTAATTAATATTCTTTCAGCTATATTTAAACTTGAAACAGATAGAAGTATATGGCCCTTGATAAGAATCTATCGGGGTGGCTTTCTTCTGATTGAATTCCTTTTTCTACTGGGCATCAACACATATGGTTGGAGACAGGCTGGAGTAAACCATGTGCTCATCTTTGAACTTAATCCGAGAAGCAATTTGTCTCATCAACATCTCTTTGAGGTAATCAAAGCAAGACATAAAGTCCCATGAATATAGTTTGCATTAGCTATATAGCTGCTTTAATGAGTACTGAAATCCATCTTCTACTTGAAGAGGATTATTGACTTAAAAACTAAACATTTTTCTTAGCTTTGTTTAAAAAATTAAAGATATTTCTGAGTAATGGTAAAGATAAAAATAACAATTTTCTCTCTTTTTGTCTTTCCCATCCTTTATCAGATTGCTGGATTCCTCGGGATATTGTGGTGCCTGAGCCTTCTGGCATGCTTCTTTGCTCCAATTAGTGTCGTCCCCACATATGTGTATCCACTTGTCCTTTATGGATTTATGGCTTTCTTTCTTATCAACCCCACCAAAACTTTCTATTATAAATCCCGGTTTTGGCTGCTTAAACTGCTGGTAAGTCCAGAAACTTGGGTACTGATTTTAGAGTGTATATTGGTAATTGGCTTCCTTTAGGATGAAACCAAGGCTGCTCTATTATACAACTTCAGAGGGCATAGTTTACATTGTAGTCTATGTGAGTGGTGTCCCAGCTCCAGGGGCAAAGAATATGGTGTGACTGGTTCCCCTGACATTGCATAGTACAATGGTCCTGGGAAAAGCACTCATGCATTTTTTTCCTCCTAAAATGGAGTATGAAGTGTCCAGATATTGAAATGATTTTGCAAATTAATAATAATCAGTTCATGATGAATTTAATTGCTTCGTTATACAGATTATTTAATCAGCTGTGATAAGATATAACTTTATGTTTCTTTTTTTTAAAAGTGGTAAAACTGTTATTTTCCTGTTAAATTGATATAAGTAGTCAACCAAGCATTTTTATTTTATGAAAGATCTGTTCTCTAAAAGTAGTAGGAATACCTTGCCAGATCACCAAGTTTAATTTAAGAAACTGACTTTGATTCTTGTTTATAATAAATTCCATTTCTTCTTCCACTTTACCTATTTCTTAATGATCTCAAAATCATGCAGTTTCAGCATTAGGATATAGAATTTCTTGTGAAAATGGTAGCTGTATTTTTTGTGATAGGGTGAAGATAGCTCTGAGAAGGGACTTCTACTTACCCCTAAATTAAACTAGCTCTATTTTGAAAATCAGTTGGGAATGCTTTAATATAGTTATTTCTTAGATTATGAAGAACAGTAGAGTGAAAATTAGTAATTAAATTGACCAATCTCTACACAAACTTTCGAAATTCCCATATTTTCCTTACTTTTTTATCACCTTATAAAGTATACCACCTTGAAAACTGTAGTTTTTATTTCTTTCTTCCTTTTGTATGCCCCTTAGGGTTAGCAGATTTTTTTGGTTCTTAACGGTACACTCCCTATGTATAGCATTAACTAAATTTTTTAAATCTGAAAACACAAAATATGGCTTTCCTATTAAAAAATATATAGTAAGCACTCAACAAGTAAAAACCAATCTATATTCCAATATAGGTAAGTATTTATAGCAATCAGGAAAAGAAAATGACCCAAATCTCCTTGATTTATTTTTTTTCCAAGGTTGATTGTTATTTATTTGTATTTCTTATTTCTTCCACTAGGATTTTTATCACATTGAGAATCTTCCTCTTTTCCTCCAATTTCATTAAATATAAATAAATAAAAGAGCAAATCATTTCCTTTAAGTGCAGCACCTCTGGGCCTAACTTTGGGTTTGAATTTTGAGTGTGGAATTCAGATGTACAACAGTATTTTGATAAGTCTAAGCATACCATCACCTTTAATATGTTTTGTCATCTTCTAGAACACATGCTTTTTAGAGGATTTTTTTTTTAAGACAGAAGAAAAGTTTGAGCCTTTTTTTCTCCCTTGAGATTTATACTGAAAATAAATGATTTCCAGTTTGTACAGCAATATTGGATTACCTTTCTTATTTTGAGATTGTCGTTTTATTACTGGATTTTGTGGAGTTTTTAAACTGTGTTATTTGCTTTAAAAATGTAGTATTCTTCTGATTACAAGGAAATACCTTTAAGATTATAAAGATTTATTGTTTCCTGCCTCAATTATTGTGAAATCTCTATGAAGTTCTTTTGAAATGAGGTTTGAAAGTCCCAGAAAACTCAAGTGTTAATATGATTGCATCATTGCAATAAGAGGATAATACAGTTGTGTACATTGTGTGCTAAGTGAACATTTCCCCAGTGCATCCTTCTTTGTTTAAATAGTAAACTATGATTCATGCATGACCAGTTATTCTTATTAGCAAAACGTTTCCCACCGAGTAGATGTTTATCTGTGCATCTGCTGTGTATTAATAAATGAGGACTTGTCGATGGAATAGGTTGGTAATAATGATATAATAAAGAATAATAAAATGTACTATCAGAAGCAGTGAAATACAGAAAGAAGCATTGTGGTGTGTTATGTTTGTACTAGTAATTGCAAACAGGAACAATGTTATTTATAGATCATTTTACTTTATTTTATTTTTTATTATTTATTTATTTATTTATTTTTCCCCCAAAGCCCCAGTAGATAGTTATATGTCATAGTTGCACAGCCTTCTAGTTGCTGTATGTGGGACACGGCCTCAGCATGGCCGGAGAAGCGGTGCGTTGGTGCGTGCCTGGAATCTGAATCCAGGCCGCCAGCAGCGGAGCGCACGCACTTAACCGCTAAGCCACGGGGCTGGCCCTATAGATCATTTTAATAGTAATTGACCTATTGACTTATTTTAATTTAAAACTTACTGAGAAAACTTACCCTTAGACTTGTTTTTAGTGAATTAACAAGAATGTTTCCACCCTAGTTGTGATTCTCTGATGTAGCTTTTTTTAAAACCTCATCCTAAAGTAAAACTACATTTCCTTTTTTCTTTCTTTATTTTAATTTTTAGTGGGAAAAGAACATATGGTACTTGGCTGTAGTGGTAGGCACTGGGTGCCATTTATATCCATATTTAAATTTGAATCTGTGGAATTGGTACATGCTATTCTCCTCCTCCCAAAAAAAGCTAAAAAAATTTTTATAAGAAATTGGTTTATTTTGATATGAATGTTATATGTCAAATTAGTATAGTGTATTTACATTCATTAGGTTATACATCTTCTCCCCAGATCCATATTTGCCCTAATGAGAAATCCAATTAGGAAGCAGAAACAGTGCCTCAAATTTTCTTTTTTTTTTTTTAA